ATATATATATATATATATATATATATGTATATGTATATATATGACGAGGAAAGACACAATTAAAAGTACTGGCATTGGCCTGGTTTATGTTATATACTGATAGAAGTTTGGGAGATTCTAGAACAGCATTCTGTCATCGTGAGGAATATGTAGTACGACCAAATAAATTCCACGTACCTGTTTCTCCATCGCTCTCAGAATCAGGCTGTCCGGATGAGACGGTATGTACACTAACTAGGTTGTAAGCCCTAAGAATGAAATCAGGAGACTGGAGTGTCTCCAATTGAATAGAATAGTCACCAGATCCCGGCAGTGAAGCGGGTCGCATTCGCACAAATTGGCTGCCAGCAGCTGAGTCCACAGTGCCATAGAGCCATCGTTCACCCATACCCTGGGCTGTCGCATGCGGCATAGGCTTGAGCACTTTGTGATCACCACGAGGTTGGTCAATAGACTTTGGATGATATTTAATCCAACTCCACGAGGAGGCTTCGAAACGGTAGACACAGAGGACAGTCTGTGTACAGAGCGAGAATGAGCAGTAGACCATCAAACCATCTTTTGTGTACACAACACCAACTGCATGGGGAAGAGAGAAAGTAAAGGAGGTGGTTGCCCAGGCAAAGGAGGCATGTTTAAGGTCCAAATCGGGAATCCATTCAGCTTGTAGGGTCGCCAAATCCCAAACCATCCCTTTTAGTGTTGCGGTATTTATTTGGTGTATGAAAAGGAACACAAGGCTCTGACGATTTGGTACCTCTGCCGTGCAAAGATGAATAGGATTGCTTTCACTAGGTTCGAAGAGAAGGGTTCGTTCGACAGAGAGAGGAGTCGGGCTACTGAGAACTTGACCTGTAAGGAGATTCAAAAAGTAGAGAATGAAGGAGGACGGAGAGTTTTGCCTAGCAACGAGAATCAATACAGGAGTGTCTGCGCGAGGTCGAAAAGCAGATCTATCAAGAGAGAGGAAAGTGGAGGCGCTGCACTCCAAGGTAGCTTGAAAATGCGAGCGGAAATTATGGGAAAGAAATATTCGAAGAGAAGAAAGATAGCTGCTAAGAGTGGAGTCTGCAGAAACAATCTGCGGATACTCATCCAAGAGATTGACTAAATTCTGAAGCCCTGAAGGACTCAGCAAGCCAAGACGAAGCGATTGAACTAGACGAAAAAGAATCTCGCGCAAGGGATTATTCTCGATTCTCGGTCGTTTTTGGCGCGTAAGAGAACGCTGAAGCCACTCAGAAGCACAATCGAGGATTTCATCCTCATACGAGAGAAATACCTTGTCAGAGGAGAGAGCAAGAAGGACTGAATTAAGTAAACAGGGCTGTGAAATATCAAATTTTACGAATTTGGAATCAAGGAGAATTGTGGGATATCGATTAATAAAACGCACAAGGGGACGTCTCAGGCATTTCAAGCGATTATCGGTAAGAATAGGAATCATGTCAGTGAAAGTGTCACATTCGTGAACACGGGAAATGCAAGGAGATTGAGACTGCATAAGAGAATGCAAAAGATATTGGAATAGTGCCTGCAATTTGACTTTGAACCTCGGCATTTGGAGATAGTCTGCTATGAATGCGGCTTCAACTAGCTGGCGCATTTGTTCTGCCTTTGGACAATTTGGGGAAACTGCGTGCACAGTGTCAACTTTGCTAGTGAATAGGTCATTGTCAGACAAGAAGTGTTGCAAATGTTGCAATTGACGAGGTGAAAATTCAGATAGGAAAAATTCGCCCGAACGCGACTCAGTCATGCCGCTTTGAAGAGCAGCTTTGAAAAAATCACTTGACTCGACTAGAATGTTGCAAGGAATCTAAAATTTAAACATAAATTTATTTCTTGCCAACGAACAACTCAAAATGCTAAAATCGTAGCATATCGATATGACATTACAAACATAGGCATTGACTCACTGTAATGCTGAAGCCATCCGTAAATATGCGAACAAGTTTGTGATTTTCATTATTTCTTTCAATGGATGATTTCATAATAGGTGATTAAATATATGCCTTTCTACAATTGAGACTCCATTAAAAATCAACCCGGTACGTGCACATACGGGTTCTATTCGTAGGGCTGATTGGTTGATGTTATTTAGCCATTTTACCATTCAGTACATAGTTACTTACGTACCAAACTGAGGAACTTATTTTATTATTATTTTAACTTGCTAAAATTTCATTGTGACAAATTCATTGCAACAAATCGATCTCCACTTATGAAATGTTTAGAATGTCTCAAAAGGCAATCAAATTTAATAATATTTAATATCCCACCATTTCGGTTGTTTGCCATGCGATCAATATTTTACTTATTTACCTTAGGCAATAGCAATGCAAAATGATTCAACTATAATTATGTTTCTGATATAATTTCTTACCGAATTTTATACATTCTTTTAGAAGAGTTTATTCTCCGTACAAAAATGCACGTTTGTCATTCGGTTTCAAAGACTTCAATAGCAATCATTTACTTAACTATATGTTATTTCAGCGAAAGTGACATCTCCTAACTTTCCTTATGCCAATATATCTTCCGTTTAAATTGACATAGCGAGTGGTGACTAAAATATCGTGAATGAAAATTCGGTGAAAGTTCTGGTATCTCCAAAAAATAATCCTAATCTCAGAACTCTAACAAATCAACCAAACTCCCTAAAGGTAGGCTTTCTCAAAAATTGTTCAAAGCATCGAATCTATACTACAGCCCGATTATCAAATATGTAATTGTTATTAAATAATAGACAGCAAATAATTAATTAAATTCTTTCCAACACATCTCATTCTTATTTTCCTAGAAAGTGTCTCTAAGGCCCTCTCAACCAGGAGAGAACATTGTAATTGGCTACATTGATTAATCATAATTAAATAATGTGCATATGAAAAGGTCATCTTAAAAATGAGAAGTCTAAGTGTTGACAATAACTTAAAGCAAAGATTTTTAGTGTTTAAAAAATTAAATGATATCAAAATCCGTTTCCTTCACTAAAATCAGTTGTTAGTTTCAAGTGGGGGCTGATATAATTCCTAATTCCATATCTAATTTGTGCGTGAACCAAAAGTAATCTAGATTTGCAAATGTGTTTGAGGATATTGCTAGAGAAAATACGTTTTGTTCCGAATATAATAAAATCGGCCTTAAATATTGTGAACGCTCAAAATTAAATCGTGCAGTGCAAGTGAATTGGGTGGGTATATTTTCGGCCTAGATAAAATTTTGGCGTATTGTCACTCGAGAATTTTTCCTTACATTTTCATAGTTTTTACTTATGCTTATCTTATTAAATGTTATTTTTTTAAATGCATTCCATTTGTCTTCCATATACATGATACCAATAGCGATTTAGGTTTATTACTGTATTCCAATCCTCTTAGACACTTGTGGGAACGTCATCTCTTAACGCGTCATCGCCTGCCTCACGCCATGATTGGGAGGTGCGGCCGTACAACTCTGTGTGCAGCGACCAGGGAGGGAGGTGCGGCCGTACAACTCTGTGTGCAGCGACCGTACAGTGCATCGTATGCCTGCATGTCTGCTGCCAGGATTGGGAGGTACGGCCAACTCTGTGTGCAGCGACCGTACAAACAGTGGCCAATCACTAGAACCTCTGTGTGCAGCGACCGTACAAACAGTGGCCAATCATTATGTTTTTTTAACCTAATCCGCCATCCTGATCATGATTAAGCCCCCTGCGTGTACACTTTATCCGCAATATTTATTTATATCAAATGGCGGGCGTTTTGATGGTTATCTTTAGGGCTTTAGTTGACTTTAGGCTTCACGGGGAGGAAGAAACATCAAAATGAAAAAAGTCGAGATGTGGTGGGGGGGGGGGAACAGAAGAGTGTTTCAAAGACGAAGGTAGAAAAAGGTGAGGTGAGTAATGTGGAAGCAGTCGAATATGACATACAGTGGGGTGATGGTAGTTTGAAGTCAGAAGTCAACTGCAGTTTACAGACGTTGTCCAGGGTGCACCACGTGGAGGTAAGTCTATCATACACCCCTTATCCGCAATATACTTACTGAATAAACGTGTTCCGTGCTGTACGTCTCTTTCCTTCATAGCTGGGCTATAGCTTAGCCAGTTCTGGTAGTCTAGCTAGATGTTGGAGAGTCTGCAACAGAGATTTCTGAGTCAGTCAGGCTTTACTAGCGTAGCAATCCGCTACACACTCATTAATTTAGCACTTGTGTTAATTGCAATTTCGAGGTGTTTTTTCCTAAAGCTACTTTAAATATTGATAATATGCTAAGCCCATGTGAGGTTAACAAATTTTGGAACTGATAATCTCATTATTTCAATCAAGTATTGTAACATAGATAAAACTTCAAACTGTGAAAAGACGAACGAAAATCAATAACATTCTTTATGTCAACTAAATAATAGTTGTATTAAGTAATCCATTTTACTCTCTGTTCCATCCTTACTTGAGAAACCTGCAGCTAAATATCCGGACTTTGTCTTAATACGGTCAGAAACAAGACAGGTTATATCTCAAAATGGCTAGAAATTTACAACTTCTCAAGTCCCAAATCTTGAGATCAGAACAAGCATAAGAAGTTTAACAAAATTAAATTGAAAAACATTTCAGATCATAGAAGATTAACAACAGATTTATGGAAACTCTACACCCTGTAGAACAGTCATTTATGGTTGGACTAAAATCTTTAAAGAGGGAAGAGTTGAACTTGATGACGACCCACGAGGAGGGAGACCCAACATTGCAAGAACTCAAGAAAATGTCTCCATTGTGTCGAATCTAGTGCAGGAACAAGATCGACAAGGAAGACGACAAGATCGATTGAGAAAAGTTCCAATGAAGTGGGAATCGCTCACAGATCAGCATTTTCAATTCTCACAGAAAATCTTGACTTGAGCAAGCCACGGCGAGCGTGGTTGGTCCCAAATGTGTTTCAGGAATAAAAAGAGAACCAAAGAGCTGAGCTGTCTTAAGCAACGTTTAGCAAAGATGAAAGCAAATGAAGATAATTTTCTAAGTGCCGGTTACTGAAGATGAAACCTCTATCTACCAATTGGATCCAGTAATCAAAATTCAATCAAGAGAGTGTCATCTAACGGGAAAATCTGAGCCTGTCATGTTCAAAGCTGAAGGGTTCGTTAAGAAGGACATGGCCAATACTTATTGGGATTCAGAAGAAGTGATATTGATGGGCTTTCTAGAAGGACAGAAAACGATCATCTCGAGTTGTTATAAAGGCGTTTTGAAGAAGTTGAGGTCAACCTTTGCCAAAACGCCACGGGGAACTACACAAACAGATTTGTTTCATCGCAACAACGCCTACGCACATTCTTCAAGAGCTTTCAGGGCCCGGTTGGGTGAATTTCGAAGGGAAACACTTCCACTTCCTTCTTATTGTTCAGACCTAGCTGTTTCAGACTTTTTTCCCAAAATTGAATGATCACCTTACGACTCTCGATTTACGTCTTCAGATGAAGCGAAAAGGCGTGTACTTTCATGGTATCAGAAGCAAGTCCCAGAATTCGACCATAGGGGAATTTACAGGTGAAAATATAGATTAAAAGTGAGTGTAGACGGCGATGGAACCTTTGTGGAAAAATTTAAGCAATTATGGAAATTGTCGGAGAACTTGTTGACTCACCATCGTGTGGGCATGCAGGGGCCGATGGGAATCTTGGACGCGATACACACTCAGCGACGATCCCAGGATCCTTGGGACGGAAGATGCCACAGTGGCAAATGCTCGCTTTCCCATACTCTCAAGTCGTTGCAGTTATTTAGGGGTGGCCTTTAAAGTGTCATACCAATTGAAAATGTTGACAGAATTTGGCCTGAGTAGAAGGAAGTCCCATCCTCTAGCCTTTCTTGCTCTCATGCTTTCTTGTCCTACCACACTTTGCTCGTTACTTATATCTAACTAATAATCCGAAAATTCGCAATTTCATGCACAAACACACAGGGTGTAGAGGTAATAATCGATCGATAAGGTTTCTTTAACCGTCTTGCATCCGATTTAGTTCATCTGAAAAGAGGCTATCGTGAGCCAGTGGAGCTTTACCCACCGCACAAGCCTGTCATATTAGAGGTCAAATTCGCATCGTGCAACCCCTCCCTCCAGTGACTGAAGATCGTGATTCCGAGATGAAAACACTTTTTACAAGTGTTAATGTAGATTAGCTTAGCTTCTTATACTACGCTAGTTAAACACTAATAACTGTGGATAGTTCGAATCGTGATTAAATGAGGAGAACAATATCCATGGTTAAAAATTCCCAATACCAACTGAATTCCAACTTCATCCAGTTGGCTAT